AAAAATCCGAAACTAGTTTCGGATTAGAACCTTCCGAAACTAGTTTCGGGTAGGTTTCGTTTCGAGTGCCAACTCTATTCTGAACCATAGTGCTTGTATTTTTTTTCAAATATGGAAATATTGTCAACTTTTCATGGGCATTCAGGTTCGTTTTTTTTCAGTTATGGTAGTGCGTTTTTGGTTATTATTTTACATGTCATCTGTATTAAAAAAAAAAAATTTTAAAACTTGCTTAACATGTTCTCAATTAATAAAAAAAATCTTAGTTTCAATGCTAAATACTTCAAAAGATCTCTCTTGTATAAAAACGACAGATCACAACACAAAAAACCCGTGTCTTTATGAACACAAAAAAAAAAACCCCCCCGTGTCTTTATGAACACAAAAAAAAAAAAAAAATTCTATGTCTTTACAAACACCTTTAAATCTAATGATCGATTTGAAAAAAATTTTCTTTAATATATATTCGTCACATAATTAATTGAGATTAATTGGTTGTAATTAAGATAAATTCTGCGATTTACTGTGATGTTTTGGAATTCTGTGATATTCTGCGCTACTTTTTAAATTTTCTGTGACGTTCTGCGGTAACTAAGGGGGATTTCTGTGGTTTGCTGTAATTAAGAGGAATTTTGCGGTTTTCAGTGAATCACAGCAAATCATCGTCCCTGCAACAGACCCCCATAATAGTAGACCATCCTCCGTACAACAGACCCCCCGGGTCTAAATCAATTTTTGGGCAGGTTTAAAGTAATAGACCCGGGGTGGTTTATGCGGCAATTTACGGTAGTTTAAGACATTCTAGGTTCTACAACAACCAAATAATTTATTCAATGATCATCCATTTTGTTTTGTAATACATATATTAGGTATTGAATTTTGTACAAACGTTAAGTATCAACTCGAGTTGTATAAGATATTGGTCATATGATGAAAAAATTTACTGCTATTTTCGTATGATGTTATCGTTTGCATTATATTAGCATGAGAATTTTTGTCATGAAATTTTGTATAAATGAATTCTACAAAAATATCATGGCAAAAAAATTCACATGATCAAATCACACGAACAATAATTTTAGTTTCTTGCTGTATAATTAAGTTGAAAATATTAAAACTATAAGATGTAGTTTGCTATAATATATGCTGAGTGAAACCCCCAAGAATCTGTCCACCCGTTTTCTTAAATTAAATCAGAGATCAAAAAAAAAAAAAGTGGTGACAAATTTTAATTTTATTTCTATGGTAATACCGTATTTTCACATAGAAATGCTCATTAGTAGGAACATAAGTTTAGTATTAAGGTAAAGGTCGCACAAATAATTTAATTACGCCGCGCATACATTTAATAAAGTCACGTGATTGACGCGTAAAAAACACGCGATCATACTATCATTAGGATTCTGTAAGTACCGGCACATGTACTAATAAAATTTAATGCCGGGCACGAGCATGTGCACTATATTTTTAATAGTACGCGTGCTGGAACTTGCATAAATGCTGTAACTTACCAAGTTTGTTTTGACAGCTTGATAACACAGTTGCGCTACATTCGTTGATGACACAGCTTATGTTAACATGATTTTGACATCTCATGGCATTTATGCCATTTAGTAAATGTTACATTCGTTGATGACACGTATGACATGATTTTGACATTTCATGGCATTTAGTTAAATGCTATTTATGATTATTTATTCAAGGATTGATTGGACCCGAAAAAATTTAGTGTGTACGATGGTAAATAAGATATTCAGTCTGATCCTTGTCCAACAAACATATTATTATTTATATGAACTTAATAATATTATTATACGTATATAAAGTTGATCTTTTTTTTTTATCTTTATGTCGCATATAGTAAATATTTTTATTAAAACTTTATAATTTATCATAAATCTTTTAAAAAAAAAATTGTAAAAAAAAAAAAACACAACACAAGAATTACAAATGGAACATGAAACTAATTAAAGAGAGAGCAATTTTTTTTTTTTTAGATTAGGTGAAAGAAAAATAAAGCTTGATAATTCATGAATTATTAACGACTAATGTTTTATAGTTCATCATAAATGTAGAGAAATAGTTCAATCATGCAGGATGGGTGGGCAAGTAATAAAACGGATATAAACATAATTTGTACAAAATTAAAGATAAATAAAATAAAATAAAACGATAAAAAACAAATATACAGTTTTTGATTCACGGGCTAAAAAGATTTTTACGATTAGCGAATCGAAATAAGATTTAAAAAAATTTTTTACAAGAAAAAAAAAGAGAAGAGGAGAATAAAGACTATAATCATATAAAGAAAGAAAGGTTAGACACGTAAAGAAATTTTCTCGTTTTCAGCCTTGGTTTACGAATAACACACACACCGTGTTACATTTTAATGCATAATGGGAATTCCCTTAATCCGATGAGTCATAATTAAAGATGGCTATCTTTTCACACGTGCATAACTTTTTTTTTTTTTGGATTTTTGAATTTTTGAATTTTTTGGTTTAAAAAATTTTTTGATCATTTTTTTTTTGTTTTTTGTTTTTTTTTTTTAATAGAAAGCGTGAGAAAAAAAAATAAAAAATCAGGGAGGGGGAAAAATGAAAGATGATTGTACGAAATGATTTGTCGGATACCAGTTAACTGGTAGTGGTAAATTACGACGATTGGCAGCTTCCAATGGTGAATGAAAAATTTCACTAAGACTTGGAGTTCGTTGTGAAATCAGTGATACATTTGGGTGGGTCCACGAAGGTTCTATTGGCGAAGGTCTATCGTAATGGTTAATACAGTTAAGGGGTTCGTGTATCGGTCTCAATGGGCTCAATATTGGAGAAATATCGGTATCAGAAGAACCACCGCTACGAAGAGAAGCGGGTGGGCTTGGTGGATTAACCTTCTTTTTGCCAACAGATTCTTTACGAAGGCGTTTCAATTCACAAGATTGAATGTGCCTCGAAAGATGCCCATAGCGAGTAAAGGATTTTGTACACCCATTAGTTGGACAGTCGAATGATTTTGTCCAAGAATTAGGGGAAGAATGAGTGGTAGTTTCGGTAAAAATATATCTGATCGTGCGAGAGGTGGTGGGCATCCCTTCATGTACTTGATTTATATGATATGTAGTGGTATTTCGAAACGACACGGATACCATTCTTCTATTGCGATCTCTTCTTCTGGATGTGTTATCATGAACTCGACGATGTCTTGTGAGTTCATCTGATCTTGAAAATTTCTTTTCACAACCAGCGAATGTGCAATGATGAGGTTTCTCGCCAGTATGCGTTCTAGTATGCCTAATTTAAAATTGTAAATAAATGATTAATTTAAATATGACTTATATTTAAATTTTCGGGTTTTCTTTTAGCGATACTCATTTATATTATATAATCTGCATGATATATACAATTACAGGAAATTGGTTGCAGATCGGTTTTGACGTGTTGTGTAACGAAGTCGAATTTATTATGTAATTCGCACCATGGTATGTAGATCATGACCAGAATTACCATGATGCGAATAGTAGTAATTCACTTTTTTTTTTATACTGATCGTTAATTTTAAAGAAATAAAGCATATATGGTTTTAAAGAAAAAAAGTATATATGGTTTATAATCCAGGGAAAATTGCAACGAATCATGTGATTTTTCAGTACAGATTACGCGAATGATACATTTTGCAGATTATATCTTATAGGATTTATTACATAAAAAATCAAGGTACATGTTTTTTTTCTTTATTGCTTTTTTTTTTTTTTTTAATTTACTCAAGTACCTGTTAAGATGTTCTAATCTGTTAAAACTCATGCTACAGGTCATACATTGATACGGACGAGGACCTTTGATGGTAGTATGTTTTTTTAGGATTTCGTTGTTTTGATTTTCATTAGGTGTAAATGTCGAAGGAAGTAATATCTTTGAAAGACTTGACATGTTAAACGAGATCACGTGACGTTACGAAATAGGATGGTTGGGTGGAAGCTCTTCTTTGGAGTTCGTAGAGGCGAAAACATCGTTTTATGGGCTTAAATAAAAAAAAAACAAATACGTAAAAATAATCGAAAAAAAAAATTGAAAAAATTGATGTAGTTAGTATTTGTTAAGTTTCACATGCTTAATGCACTCGTACATAATAACAAACCTGCATGCATAATCCCAACGTAATTAATGCATTTTTGATAAGTTCAAAATGCGTTAATTTTTTTAACAGGTGCTTACTTACAAATTCAAAGTAGATCATTGAAGAACAATTGATACAACATTAAAACCACTGAAAAATTTGAAACGTCAAACAGACTGTAAGGAAGAAGTTTGTTATTCTAATTCATCATTTAAGTATTGTTCATTATGAATAGGATATCATTATCAATTATTATTTTTTTCGGTAAGTTCCACGGATTGTTTAAAATTGTTTAAATGGTCAAGATAAAGCAGCATTTCTTTTCTATTTTGCATTTTTTTTGCCTAATTCATTTTCATATTTTTACTTACACTTATCTACACGGCAACGTATCACGACAGATATAAATATCGGTTTATGACGACAAACTTCGTACTTAGAGATAATAGCAAATTTCCAATTTAGTTCGCCACGCTATAAGATAACGATATAATGAACATAATAGGCTGGAAATGATCGATTTGATTCAAACCTAAAATAAGATTAGACAAGTATAGCTTACATCACAATTATGTACGTCCGAAAATGCCCTTTAACGATCGGGCCATAATTATATTATAAAAAAAAAAAAAGATAAACGTAATTCAGAGTTTGGTTTCATTATTTGTCTTAGATAATACATAGAAGGTATGTTACATTGATACACAAAAAAACCTGTCAAAAAGAAAAAAAAAGAAAGCCAGTAGAGTTTCAACATGCAGGGTTTGTAATCGACACACTTTCTCGCAAGCTTAATTTGGCCAGATTAGTTGAATTGTTTTTGTTTATATCTTCGATATGCTGAATAACTACGTTTGATTGCGTAGAATGCATCTCTTTGCATGTACAGTATCTGACATTTATTTCCTACTTAGGATATGCGGCAAAAATTTGCACTTTCATATCATCGTGTGAGATAACCCTTTTATAGAAATTTCGATATTCCATTCAACAATGTCTTTGTTCAATAAAAAAATTAACGCATTATCAACATGAAAGATAGCAAATAATGTGCATGAACACTTTTGTTATCCATTATGATTAGCAAAGGCTAAATTTCATCATTGTAGAATCACCTGAGGTCTTTGAAACGAGCGTGGCGTTCTATCATTTCCTAAACTAATTGAAAGAAAAATATCAACACATGTCAAAATTCTTTCGGAATTCACAAAGGTTATAAATCATAACATTGTGATGCGGAAAAACGAAGCGGTTTTCTAGAAATATCAAAAATGTTTGTTTTGTACAAATATGGCATGATCCAGTTTTTTTTTTTTGACGTGGTAAATATTTGTTAATAAGGATGGCTCGGGTTAAACAAGTGCATCATTGGTCCAACAATAAGATATCACGTAACCTTTTATAATACAGTATTAGTGGTGGTTTGTTTTTGACATTGATCAAAAAGAAAAGGATTGTCTTTTTTTGATTATCTTCAAATTTTAATTGATTACTAGAGCATCGTCGATCTTTTTCGTGTCATTTTTCATGTGGAAAAATGTGGATTTGTTACAAATAACGCGTAGATTATTACTAAATAATAGTTGGTATGGAGTCGGATGTTTTCCCGCGAGTATTAAATCTTATAATTCTATTATTTTATTCCATCGTGCGAAAATTAACGTAAACGGTAAACCAGGTGATGTCATGTGTGGTTAAAAATTGGTTAATTGCATGAACTTGAGGACGGAAGAAATGTTTCATATTTTATGCGAAAAAATAATGCAATACCATGTGTTCATATGTAAATATCATGCTCTATGTACTAATGATAAATATATGTTGGTACACATCTCCACATTCTGAAATTTATTGTAAAAAATTGATCTAATTTTGCATCTTGCATTCAATAAATTATTTTTATTACAGAAATCCAAATAATTTTTTTTAACCGCATTAATTCAAAAGACTTTTTTGTCATTATTATATGAAAATTTTATTTTGTTTTGAAAAAACAATGAAATGTTGCATATGAATCTTTTTTATTGTAAATTTCACTATACTGATTTCAAATTAACTAATTATATCGATTTGGTATTACCGTTACCTGAAATTCTGGCTTCATTAATGTCGCGTATTTTTTTTTTTTTTTAAAGTTATATCTAGATTATAAATTACAAAATATATTAAGTTTGACAATAAACCTCCGTGCATATCCGATAAAATAAAATACAATAAATAAAATACAATAAATAAAATAAATAAAATAAAATAAATAAAATAAAATAATATAAAATAAATTATATAAAATAAAAGTAGTACCAACTTTAAGCGTGGTAGTTTAAGGTACTAGTATAAAAAAGCATTTAAATATCATATAATTCATTGAAACGCGCTAACTTTACGATCAGCATATAGATTCATGTCTAATTGATCGTAAATTTCATTCTCTGTTCAAATAATTTTATTTAAACTAATTAAATAGTCAAAAAATGGATTAATGTATCATGAACAAATCTTCAGTTCAATTACTTTATTTAAACTTTACTTAATGCTAAGACAATTAAGTAATCCAAAAAAGAGTTAATATTATCATGAATCAACATTTTTTTTAAAGTCATTTTTAAAACCTTTTATGTCAGGTCACCCTAAGAGCGTCAATTGACATAGTCAACTCTATAAATACACCATCCTCAGGAATTATACTTGCTATACAATTGTTCTTTGTAAAAAAATTAAATCAAAATAATCTTGTTATTTTATACATAGTTATAAGAACATATATCATTTGTTTAAATAAAAGATTATTAATAAAGGTTTTGAAATATCAGTTTGGCTATAATAGTTTGGTAGCAAGTATATTGGGAATATAAAAATATGCATTTATATAAGATTGACGCATTTATAGAAGGCTGACTATATTTGCTATTTTACTGTATATATGCTAACAAATTAGTAATTCTTAATAATCAATAATAATTCCCTGTTTAACGTTGTTCTCTTTATGCTTTATTATGTATACATAACTTAATACTGCGAATCATATAAGTTACCAACACCACCTTATATAATCTTAAAAGAGAAAGATGAATGGGGGATTTTTTATAGCATACATCGATAAAGGTTTGAATTCATCGATCAAAATTAAATGAAATGAAATGAGTAAAAAAGAAATGAACATCTCACTATATATTTTTCGGAATCATAATAAAACTAAAAATTAGCGAATAAGTTAAAAAAAATTTTCTAAACACACACGAGATTGTGTGAAAACTTTTTCTTTATCGTATGAAAAAAAAAATAAAAAAAAAATATATTAGGCTTAGGATGGAACTAATAAATTTTTTTTTTTGTTAATTACGTTTAAGAATAATTCATTCGTAGAAGTATATATCCTCGTAAACAATTTATAGCATCTTTTCTAACAGGCAAAATACCTGCCCTTCTACAGAAGGAGTATTGATCATACGGGTGTTAAACGATAAAAAATGTTGCCGTCTGCTATTGTCGGGAGTCTTATATGGTGTGTTGCTGGTGCAGCCGTAATTCTGTCCCTTAAATTTTGCATGTTCAACTGCCACAAAAACCTGACACGAGTTGCGACGCGCCACGTGAGGGTTCTCATTTTGTACTTTGATAGCGATGTCCACGAATAAGGGAAACTTTTAAAAGTATAATAAAAAAACAAGATTTCAAGTTAGCTTAATAAAATCAAAATTTCTATATTAAATCATATTAAAATTATATTACCTGTTGGAGGAAATTTTTGTCATGTGATGGCATTATAATTTCATCTCCTATCATGTGGAGTAAATAAACGTGTCCTGCTCGAACACTTATCAACACTCTCGAAAGGCCGTGAAAAGCACTTGAATCTACTATATATCATTAAAAAAAGACGTTATATATACATTAAATGATTTAATTGATTTAATTGATTTAATTAATCACAATATTTCTCTCATTGAAACCCGTGGTTAACACTTACTCTTTCTTAATTGGGTCATTATACCATCAGCTAAGGCCCAAAGTGGTTCTTCTAAAATAGGGATAATTTCACTCTTATTACCCTTATTTAATAACTTTTTCATAATCCATGAATGAATAGTGGAACCAATTATTTGTGAACTAGGTTCCATATGATTATTATAATGAGATACCTATTAAAAATATAAATATATATAAAAAGGCACACACGATTAATTCTTATTTATAACTACCAAATATTTCCCAGAGATTGTTACATGAAAGAAAATAAAGTTACCGCGCAAGCATTCAAACAATTATAATAATAAGTATTCCTTAAACTAGGTATTAAACCAAAACCTTGGGATTCAATTTGACAAAAATCGCTAACAAATTTGGCAAAGTCAGGATCGTTTGTCTCGCTAGTTTCACATGACTTGTAATTATCGTAGTTCTCGTTATTCTCTTCTTCATATCCAGATTCGGCTTCATGAGAAGAATCATAATCCATTATTATGTCATCTATTCTCATTTCACCATTGGATTGATTATAAATTTGACTCTCACAAATTGAATATATGGTATGTGTGATTGGTAACGAGAGTAAAGAATTTACTGAGTGTTGTTCGATGAACGTCAAATCACCTACAATTGATTATATAAATTTGATTAATTCGTTGCACTAATCATTTGGAACTTGGAAGTAAAAAGGTGGAAGAAACACAATAAGTCTGATACGATATTAGAGAACAAGTAATGATAGAACACCTCTTGGTTAACAGTGATTTACAATTGCTATATTAACACGAGATAGCAAGTTGTTTGAGATTCTGTGTATGAATTCTTTCAAATTTTTTTCATAATAGAATCTAAAGTAAAAGGTAGTAAGAATTTACCTGTAGCGTGTACAGACGGTCTTCTATCAGAATTTGTCGAATGAGTGGAATGCATGGTTTGACTTGGAATTGAATAAGGGCCGGAGAAAAAAAAAGAAGTGACTAAGAAAAGCTTGTTGGAGAAGGAATTATTATTATTATTTTTTTTAAAAAATTTAACTAATAAAAAATTCGTGAGAAATGGTATTATATGGTTGTTTTTTTTTCTCGGCCTGTTGAAATTTGTGTTGTTCCCGTTCCTCTATTTCATGAATTGTTGAAGGTAGTTAAATATTAATAGAAGGAATTAAAGGGTATATAACACAAAAATTTAAAAGTAAAAGAAGGGAGAGAGACCACTAAAAAGAGAGAATAAATAAGAGTTTGTAATATAGCAATCAAAAAATCTTTTAGATCTAGTACCACACCGAAAAAGTTCTTAGTGAATGGGGGAACATGCATGTCATATTGTTAAGGTAGGATCATATACATAAATAATTATTAGAATTCAAATCAGAATTATCAGATTTTTTTTTTTTTTTCTTTTTTTTACCTATATTTGATTTGGTTATCTTAAATGAAATGTAAGATAATATCTTTAAGGCGCACAAATGCGATGCGGGTCCACGAATGATTCCGTTCTACGTAAAATGCCGCATTATTTTTTATTATTCTTGCTTAAAGGATTCTGAAAAAAAAAAAAGGTTTGTACAATATTTAGTTTATCGGATATTTTTTTTATCAAATGCTGCGGCGGTTTGTTATCAGAGAATTGAAAATCGTGCACAATCTGGTATCAGCGCCTGAAGTAGGGGAAAAAAACGAAAAAACAATGAACAATTATAAAAAATCATCATCATATTTAGATTTTAGAACATATTTATTTGGTAGATCTACAATATCCAAATGAGTCATAAACGCACATAAAAGGAAGAAAAATCGCGGGGGTGTTAGGCGTTGTTTTATTTTTATTGCCATAATGAATTAAATTTTTTCCTGACTGGTCACATTACACATTTGTACCTGAGTAGGGCCAACTTTCGATTGTTCATGTTTCGGAACATGCTCAGAAATAATTATCTAATTGCGAGATAAGATTAGATGGGTTTGTTTAATTGGTTGTCGAATTCAAAAAGTTTTTTTTTTATCAAACGATAACGATAATAGCGATAATAACGGCGTAACAGTAATAGTAAACAAAAAAATGATGTAAAGTTACACGTAAATATTGCATTAGCAATTAACCTAATTCGTTACCGAGCAATTTGTAATCAATGGCACCATCCTTTTAACTCATGTCGTAATTTTTTTAATCATACAAGAAGCTGTCTTGATCTATTTTCTTAAGGCCATACATGGGTTCTTTCAGGTCAATTTTTAATTTGACTGGATCAAGAAGAATATGTACTTGACATGTTTAGCAGAAAAAAACATGCGGTATTACCCAAGTATGTATCCTCACTTCCGGTATATTTACGTTTAGATTCTCACGTATCGATTCTCTTGATTTCTATTTCTTGATTATCTTCTTCCAAACAGGTTATCGATTATTTAAGCTCTGATCGTTTGTTTATTCTTACAACGTGATATTTGCCAATATTCTGCTGTGGATGGGAAAAGTTTCTATAAAAGCATTCATGTTTATTTTGGATGCTAATTATAGTGCCATTCAACTTTTTTTTATTTTTATTCAAGAAGACCAGTTCACGAAATTGCGTCATTTTTTTAATCCCCAATAATTGGGCATTTTATTCCAATTGAATTCTAACTCCCTTAAAAAGTTCACAAAAAGTCACAAAAAGTTCACAAGTAGTAATAATCACATACTGTTGAACACCCAAACTGGTATACATAGTGGTGAGTTTACTAATTTCTTTCCATATTTCTATTGGCTGGATTATTTACACTGATTTACATGTCACTTTCTTTTTATCTTAGTTAGGGTTAGTGATAGAGTTAGCAGGTAATCCTGAACCAAAATTTTATGAGGAATCTTTTTTGTTAGTGCGCAGAAAGTAGTTTATTAGGTAAAAATTTTGAAATTTTAATGTGATTTTTCAGAAAATGTGATTGTTTTTATTGGTTTTTTTTTTTTTAATTTCATACTATACTTGTTCTTGGTTCCTGATTGGCTAGAATCGAAGCTTGAAGGAAATTCTATTTTATATCAGTATTACAGTATTAGAAGGTTGTCACATTTGAAAAACATTTAATAAACTATTAAATTTATATAGCAGGAAAACTGATTTGGTAGAATTGGCCGTCCGACTTTGACACGTATCGCGTTCGTACAGTTGTTATTATAATTTCTTACGAGTCTAAATTATCCTTTGATAATGAGGTTATTGTTATTTTCCACAAGTTTTTTTTTCGAAAGTCAAAAGTGTCAGAAATACCATAAGAATTCTTCTGAACTTCTCAAAATATCATTCATTACTAGAGATGCAGGCGGAACTGTCCCAATGAACAGTACGACACACAGCAAGTTACAGTTACTGTGCCGTATGAATCCCAAATACCCAATTGCTGTATGAGTCCCAATTTCCGTATAAATCCCAAGTGCCGTCAGTATTTGTATTTAATTAATCATTATCCCACGTTGCTATATGATCGCATGACAGGGTTTTGCGACTTATAATCACTGCTTTAATCAGTAAAAGCAACAAATTTTAAAGTAATAGTTGTTATTTCCCGGAATGCCTATTATTTCCCCGGGTGTACTTTAAGTTTTTATATAATATTTGAAGATAATTCTTTTAGTTTGCATAATGGTTTTATCCTTGGCGAAAGTTTTAAAATCCGTTAGCATTACAATAGTACACTTAAATGAAGATCTTAAAATTCTTGATAGAACACGATAGTTATTTAGAGCAAAGAAATTTTGTAATTCTTTTAGTCAGCGCAATAGTATCATTATTAATCTTATTAAAGCAAAAATTAGGTTCGCAATTTATCTTTTTATAGCCTTTTTTTTTGTCGTACTGACTAAAGATATTTGAGTTGAAAAACGCTGTCATGACGTCATATAAAACGAAGAATAACACCCTTATTTCCCGCTACAGGGGTAAATCTCAATCAACCGGGGCCGGACTTTGTTTGGCGTAGCACAAATAAGCTGTGAAACCTTATGACAGATTCGCCTTTTCAATTACCGTACAGCGTGGACTAAAAGACCCCCTTTTTATAATACCCCTCACGATTTTCGAAGGCCTAGAATGTAAAGTACCCCGGGTACTAAGGACGGATTAATTGCACTTGTGAATGATGGATTAATTTCACTTAGTATATAAAATATTACTGCAGCACCTATATAGTGTAATTTATACCCCCTATGCTGACCATAGTATCCCTCCGACTATAATACCCATATATACAGCTTAAATTGTAAAGTACCCTGGGTATTTTAGTCCACGCTGTAGGTAGTAATCAGACTTACCTATAAATATAACTCGTGCATTTGTAGATCGTTTCTATATTAAACATGCACGGAAAAGAATTTGATATACCAATATGAACAAAGAGAACAAATAATTGGTGCTTTTTTTGCAGACTTATAAGTTTCAAAAATTTTTGCTATGCTAACAATTTCTTATTCAACAGTATATAATACAATAAGTCAATATAAAAAAACTGGTTCTTTACATCTGAAAAAACATTCTGATTATTCAAGAGTATTTTTATTTCATAATATACATGTTTTGTAAATAATTAGTTTAAAAGACAGATTTTTACTTCTTATTAGTATTATAGACAAATTTAATCAAATATTTTTATCAAATTATCCTCCTATTATCATCTATAAATATCTTAAAAATTTGGCTTAAAAGGTTGTATTGTCTATTACAAACTTCTTTTAATATATAAATAATATATTGATTAATATAATTAGTACAAAGCAAAACTTATATAAAAAGAGATAGAATTCTGTAGCCTAGTGGTTTAGGCACCCTTTTCTCCACAGACAAGGTCAACAGTTCAATTTCAGCTAGAGGCAAAACTCTGTAATCTATGGAAGCATATGAATATATATAAAGCTTTATGGTTTAAGTTTATATAAATAGAAGATCAGCATATAAAGAAGTTCTTAGAAAAAAGTTTTCTGATATGGAGAGATGATGCTTGAAGCAAAAGAAGCAGTGAACATATCAGAAATGAAAAAAAGGTGCACTAGTAGGTGATACAGTAAACATTAAAGAAAACTATAAAAAAAAATGGATTTATTGAAATTCAAACATCTCTAATATCAAAAACTAGTTTAGTAAATATAAGATATACTAAATTGAATAAATCTAAAAAATAATCTTGATAATATACTTAGTAAGTTTACATCAAAGATAAATTTAAAGGATTATGGATACTTAGTAACATTCAATGAGATGATACCTAGATATAAATAATAATTAGATAGCTTTAACCTTAATATTACTATATTGGTAATATAAGTATTGCATATATATACAAAAATAGTATTGAAAATTAAAAAGTTTAAATAAAGAACTCATAAGTAGGTCTTAGATATAGTATCTAGTAGGTAACCTATAGACAGAACTCTTAATTAAATAATAACTAAAGTTATATATATGATTAGTTGTATTTTTATTAATTTTTTTTTTTTTTTGGTGTTAAGGTGAAGTATTTTTATTAATAGACTATGTATATTACATATAATCATATATTATTTAATAAAAGACATATTAACAAGATTACTGTTTCAAACTAAAAAAAACTTATATAAAAAAAAATAAAAATGAATTATTAGTTTAACAAGTTAAAATACAATGTTTTTGGTTTAAATTAAATTCTACAAAATTCAAATTTAAATGTAATTAAAAATATATAAAACTATATTAACTGTTAAATTAAAAAAATTTTTTTTAAGTTTAAAAAAGATTTAATAAAAATTATATAAAAAAAATTGGCAAATATATCTATTGTAATTTTGCATTACTTAATTTTAAACATGTTTAACTAAATTAAAATATTTATAAAATCAGTAACTAATATTTTTATTATTAATTTGTTTTATTAAGATAAAAATAAAAATATATTTTATTATAAAATTTTTAATAAATAAAT